TTTATGTCGATCACGTTCTGTTCCCAATGCATGTCGAGCTTAATGGAATTGGTCATCGGATATTGGGGAGGCTCTCTTTCGACGACATGAAATTGTATGTTTATAATTCACTTCATGCCGCCGACATTGACCAGATTGTTCTCGAGAGTGTACAGGTTTATGCTGAGCTTATTCCTATCTTCCTTCTATTGGTACATTTGTATGATAAGAGGCCTACTATTAGGACCAATGCGAACGGAAGCATAAATACTCACTTGACCTCTCCTCTAGAGATATCTATTGCTCCAAATCTCCCGCAACAACATAAAAGGTATTTTTCTCATCGTACTATTGTGTATATTTCGCGTATACAAGACATGTTATGGGACATGCATATATATTTGTATATTCATATCATCATAACTTATATGAGTTTTCAACTAAGCATAACATAGTTGAATATTCATATAACCATAACATAGTATATTTTTGTGTGTGTGTGTTTTTTTATATAATCTTTATTTTTTTTTACAGTGATTGTGGTGTGTTTGTTGCTTCATTTGTCGAGCACTTCATAGTCGATGTTGACATTACACGGAAGAAGTACTATCCCAGTTTAGAGAGGCATATATATAATACTTGCTCTATCAGCATGGGCAAATGAAGATAGCAAATGATCATGATAGCGAAGATGAATCTCCCGGCACACTCTCTGAGACTTCTCGTTTCAGTTTAGTTAAATGATTTGATTTTTGTTATGATTTTGTTATGTTTGGTGAAATGTTGACACTACTTAACTTTTGGTTTGCGTTAGTATTAACAACATTATAACTTTTGATGCTACTTAATTTTTTTATTTTTTTTTTTCGTTTGTAACTTCAATTTTCTTATATCTACTATCTATTAACATATTACAACCGAATATAAGTTGTATATAGTCACAAATTAAATGAAATTTCAGTGCAAAAAAAGTCAGTTATATATACATGTCTGACACACCAGTACAAATTCAACTGAACTGTATAGTCTGTATACTTTAAAAGTATATAAACTGCAAAAAACACTTTTATTGAATATGATTTGTATATGATCTGTATATAGTACGAAAAACATACCGAAAATTTCAACTATTATCTATAGCGAATATTATATTACTATGTATATCATGTGTACATAAATGTATATGGTCTGTATATAATATGGAACCCAGAATCTGTGTACACGTTACTTGGTGTTTACCTACATATACTTATTATACTTATGTATAAACTGTACATAATCTGTATATAATACGGATCACATTCTGAATACTTAAATTATTATCAATGTATCGTTCTAAATAGTTTAGTATGTCCCGTTCGAGTTACTTGAGACAAAAAAATAAATAAATAAATAAATAAAAGATAGAGACCTTATAACGTCAGTATCACAATTTATCAATTTATTGGATTCCGACAGGTTTTAACATTGTGCCCTTTTCTCATTACATTTACTGCACCTATTTTTGGACCTATGCTCCCATCCCGACTTTAGTTGTTGCTTCCTCGGTCGACCTTGCTTGGCACTGCCATCAGGTGGATTTACCTGTCGCGGTGTAGCGGTTGTGTCGAACATAAATGTCTGGTTACCTGCTATTGGCATCACTGTATAATCATGTGTACTTATCACACGAATAGCATGGGCACATGGGAGTTCATCCATCTGAAATCCATGACATGAGCAAGTCTTAGAGTCTATATCCACTACAAATGCTTTACCATCGGCCAACACCTTGTATATAGCGTCACTTGCTTTCTGTACCTGTATGTGTGTGTGTGTGTGTGTGTGTGTATATGTATATATGTATATATTAGTTCACATACAAATATTTGTATGAGACATATGCATAATGAGTGTATATATTATATATATATATATATATATATATATATATTGTATATACTTAATTATGAAATGATTTGAACTTACATAGAATTTGGTGGCTATCTTGTAGTTGTTCTCCATCATACTATGACGTTTCTTGGCAAGCACAGTGAATGTGGACTCGGTTCATCTCTATTCGCCATAGTCCACCGTTGTTGCATGTCTCTAAAGGCCTCTAATAAAGTTGTAATCGGGAGTTCCCGCACTGACATTACGCAGAATTGTTTGTTTCAGCAGCGTTAGATGTCATTGTGAAATATATGTTACTCCGACAATGAGCTCTTGCACACTTGTGTAGGCCAAGTTCTTCCAAATATGGTACCACACTAGGATTTAACTTTCTAATCTCCGACATATATCTATCAAACTCCTCGACTGTATAAGCTCTTGCCATTGCATGAAAAGCTTCCTTTACTAACTGAGCTTCAGTCTTAAAATGCATCTTCAAATTGTTTGATATGTGATACGTACATAGACAATGCGCCGCATTAGGGAAGACTAGCATAATCAATATACAACAACAATCAGTAAGCATAGAACATGTATGCAGACACACAACATATACAGATATATGTAGACACAAAACATATACAAATATATACACTTACTGTAAGTTCATAACATATACAGATTATATACAGAACATAAACAAAACATATACAATTAGTTAGTACAGAACAGATTATATACACTTACTATAGACACAACGTGTTTTATGCTGTTGTGACCGTGTGAAACAATGCACATTCCTTCCCTCTCACCAACAACTGATTTCAATTTGTTAAAAAACCAAGTATAGGATTTATTGTTTTCAGAGTCAACAACACAAAACGCAAGCGGTAAGATGTGAAAACTTGCATCTTGGCAACATGCTGTATGCAAAACGCCTCCATACGCTGAGGTTATAAATGTCCCATCGACAACAATAAAAGGTCGACAATGACTCCACCCTTTCTTTGATGCATTCAGGGACATGAACACGTACATAAAAAATTTTTCGGATGTCGTGCACAACCACACAGTGCTTCCTGGGTTCGAAACATGTATCCTCTTGAGGTATTGTTGTACGTATTCATATGACTCATTTGGCTTTCCACGTACCTCATCCACAGCCTTTCGCTTCGATCGACACACTTTGTGATATGACAAGTTTATCCCAAAATGATTCTGCATATCATTCACGATGTCCCCGGGATTATATGTGGTCTTGTTATTAGTGAACTTCGTCTTGAAAAAACTACCAACAACGTTAGAAGTTACATGCCGCTGTCCACCCCTGCGCACATCTAATGCACAATGATGATCAGTCCCAACCTCTTATCTTAAATGTGCTTGATTGACAAACACGGGACGCCTTCACAAACCATGTGCATTCATCAGACAAACACTTCAGGTAATATTATTTTGTGCATGATTTCACGACTTTGAATTGATATTGATTCCTTTAGCGTGCATCGTCAATATTCTCTGCAACATAGGTTTATCTGTGAATGTTCAGTATCTGGGTAACGTGAAGTGTTTGTTTGATGAATGCACATGGTTTGTGAAGGCGTCCCGTGTTTGTCAATCAAGAACATTTAAGATATGAGAAGTTGGGATTGATCATCATTGTGCATTCGATGTGCGCATGAATGGATAGCGGCAGGCAACTTCTAACGTTGTTAGTAGTTTTATCAAGACGAAGTTCACTAATAACAAGAGCACATATATCCTGGGGACATCGTGGATGATATGCAGAATCGTTTTGGGATAAACTTGTCATATCATAAAGCGTGGCGACCGAAGCGAAAGGTTGTGGATGAGGTACGTGGGAAGCCAAATGAGTCATATGAATACGTACAACAGTACTTGGAGAGGATACATGTTTCGAACCCAAGAAGCACTGTGGGGTTATGCACGACATCCGAAAAAATTTTATATACATGTTCATGGCCCTGAATGCATCAAAGAAAGGGTGGAGTCATTGTCAACCTATTATTGTTGTCGATGGGACATTTCTAACCTCAGCGTATGGAGGCGTTTTGCTTAAAGCATGTTGCCAAGATGCAAGTTTTCACATATTACTGCTTGCGTTTTGTATTGTTGACCCTGAAAACAATATATCCTATACTTGGTTTGTTAAAAAAATGAAATCAGTTGTTAGTTGTTGTTTTTCCTGCGGAGAAAGTCATATCGGTTTAGTTTCGATCATATATGATATTTAAAAGAAAGAAACGCTCCCCTTCACAAAACCAGATTGATTGGCTGATATAACATTTTGTAAAATTGGAAAAAGTCTTCTGGTTATTACCTTTGTGATGCACTTACTTATAAAGCACATTGTAGCAAGAAAAAGGTCTGAAATCTCCAAGCTCCTCTGCATTCTCCATCTTTGGGAACTGGGCTCCAATGCCAATGGCTTAATCTCTATGACTTCACTGCGCTTCGAAAAGTTTGTTGGGTCAAAGACCTTTGGTCCCTGTCCGTTGACGGAAAAGAGAAAGGAAGATTGAGCTCGTTAGTGACCATGGAGAAACTAGCTTTGAACATGACATTCGTACCCGATGCAACGAAGTTGGCAGGCATTATTGTGATCCAAACTCTACTTGAGCATCCAAATCTAGGTCAATACATTGTTTCAGACTGTCACAACATCATAAAACACGCTGTGTCTACAGTAAGTGTATATAATTTGTTCTGTAGTTACTGATTGTATATGTTCTGTTTATGTTCTGTATATAATCTATATATGTTATGAACTTACAATAAGTGTATATATTTGTATATGTTTTTGTGTCTACATATATCTGTATATGTTGTGTGTCTACAAACAAGTTCTTTGCTTACTGATTGTTGTTATATATTAATTATGCAGGTCTTAACGCGGCGCATTGTCTATGTACATATCACATATCAAACAATTTGAAGATGCATTTTAAGACTGAAGCTCAGTTACTAAAGGAAGCTTTTCATTCAGTGGCAAGAGCTTATATAGTCGAGGAGTTTGATAGATATATTCAGAGATAAAGAAGTTATATCCTAGTGTGGTACTATATTTGGAAGAACTTGGTGTACACAAGTGGGCAAGAGCTCATTGTCGGAGTAACAGTTATTTCACAATGACATCCAACACTGCTGAAACGATCAATTCTGCGGTAAGGTCAGTGCGGGAACTCCCGATTACAACATTATTAGAGGCCCTTAAAGACATGCAACAAAGGTGGAGTATGGCGAATAGAGATGAAGCGAATTCCACATTCACTGCGCTCGCCAAGACACCTCATAGTATGATGGAGAACAACTACAAGGTAGCCACCAGATTCTATGTAAGTTCAAATCATTTCATAATTAAGTATATACAGAATATATACTCTCATTATGCATATGCCTCATAAAAATATTTGTATGTGAATATATATATATATATATACAGGTACAGAAAGCAAGTGACGCTGTGTACAAGATGTTGGCCGATGGTAAAGCATTTGTAGTGGTTATAGACTCTAAGACTTGCTCATGTCATTGATTTCAGATGGATGAACTCCCATGTGCCCATGCTATTCGTGTGATAAGTACACATGATTATACAGTGATGCCAATAGCAGGTAACCAGACATTTATGTCCGACACAACCGCTACACCGCGACAGGTAAATCCACGTGATGGCAGTGCCAAGCCAGGTCGACCGAGGAAGCAACGACTAAAGTCGGGATGGGAGCATAGGTCCAAAAATAGGTGCAGTAAATGTAATGAGAAAGGGCACAATGTTAAAACCTGTCGGAATCCAATAAAGTGAGAAATTGTGATACTGACGATATAAGGTCTCCATCTTNTCTCAAGTAACTCGAAGGACATACTAAACTAGTTAGAACGACACTGTGATAATATTGTAAGTATTCGGAATGTGATCCGTATTATATACAGATCAAGTAACTCAATTGAAATACTCCTACACGCAGAAACGAAAAGCAAATCCCCGGCGACGCAAAATTTCGGTTTTCTCACTGCCAACAGGTTCGATCACTTACAGAAAAATTTTAAAAATAAAAATAAATTTTCAGAGTTTCTAAAGCTTATAAAAACCGGGATTTTTTAAAAACGGAACGACAACATACGGCATTGAACGAAAATACATATACGAGCAGTAATACAACGACGACTCGGGAAATTATATCGAGACTCCGAATTACTCAATAATCACAGCAACAACTCAATTCTCCCCAACGAGAGAGTTCCAAAAATCCACGGCAAATTTACAATGAACGAAGCGATAATAAACCAACAGCATCAAAGGGGTATTGAATCAACGAATACGAATTAATCGAACGAATTCAAAAACGAGCACGAATAATATAACGGTGGTCGATTACCTCTCTTCAGGAATCTACGTGCTCGGTTGGAAATCGTACCTGTCAAACGGGACCGAACGAACAGATGGAACTCGAAACTCCTCGAAAGTGCTGCTCCCGAACTCGGAAGGGGCTCGTGTGGACGTCGGCTTTCTCGAACGGGGCTGTTTTATGCGTGGGGGGTGGTCGCCGGAAAATGAAGCACTCGGCTATGGCAGACGGCGACTGGTCGGGACCTTCGTTTGAAGGCGGTCACTCCTTGTTTCTCGAGGATGGACGGCTACCGCTCGATAACGACGGTCGATGGCGTCTCTGCTGAGGTGGCTCGCCGGAGAAGAAAGGTTCAGGCGGCTATTTATATATATATTTTTTTATAAAAAAAAAGGGCTGAGCTGTGAAGGAGACGAAATTTTTCTCTCTTCTGGTGTAAAAGAAATCTTCCTCAATCGCATATATGAAGGTGAGAGACCAGGACGCACGCGAGGGGAAAATCTCACCGAATAATCGCAACAGAAAGATTGAAATGACGAAGGAGGAGACTCGGTCAGTTCGTACGTTAGAATAAGAGGAGAGAGATATGGGCCAAGTTATTTTAACCATGTTGGGCCTAAAAAGTAATCAAACTGGGCCGGAATTCAATACTTATGGACAGAAATATAAAATCAATTTGCGCCGAAATATTTTCAAATAAAAGGCTGAAAATTAAATGGAAAAAGGGCCGAATAAATTTGGCCGAATATCAAATTCTAGGCTCGCTAGAAAAATGGTTCGGATAATAACAACGCGAATAATACCGAAAGATTTCGAACTACAAATCGATTGACGAGATTAATAGAATTGAACGAGATATGTCGAGCAATTTACGAAGATAACCCAAAGCAATAAATAAAAAAAATATGATAAATCATATAATTCGAATGGAACACTACACAAGGTTTGCTCGAATTTGCTCTGAGGCGCATAATTTTGACAACATCAGGAGCTTTCCGGTTAGGCAATTTTTTTAGATTCTTAGAACTAAAAATTTTATAATGGTTATGAAAGATGCATAGATTAGTTCTCATGTGGATATGAAAGAAGGATTTATTGATTTCTGAGTCTTATTATGTGTCCTTAATTCTTTATATAGTATTGAGCTGCATCTGGTTAAAATATATTTCTTTTTCTTTTGGACGAGAGAATTGATTTTCTTCCTTATATATGATCAAATTTTGCTAAATCAAAGTGTATATTGGGATATGGATTTGTCGGTTAATATAAATTGAAAGATGTAAAAGAAGCAGATGCATTAATACCCGTTGAGATATGTGAAAAAAGATTCCGGTCAACTCTGCCACACTCTTTAACAAGGCAACTTGAATTGCATATTACACGATCAATTTTTTTTCTTTTTTTTTTTTCCCTTGGTTATAAGGTGGGTAATTCATGTGACTTTGATATGGTTTAGAAGTTATTGAACCTCACCATCTTTTTTAAGCTGAATATGACGATATCGAGATTGTTATTCATTCTCAGTCCATCGTACATTCGATGATTGAAACGCGATTAATTCTACGTTTACCCACGTGTTAGCCTTCTGAAATCTCTAGACTGTTTACTCAACATTTCAAACTGATATCGCAAAATTAGGAATAGCAATTGTCGATAATTAACAGAGTTAAGAGAATAAATGACAAATCAAATTACACTCGATTGTGCAGTGCACAATCAGGCCTTCTAGCATTAAATATAAAACCCATATGGGCGTCGGCTACGTAATTATCTTGTTTATTTATGACCACATATTCCAATCATAACCACGACTACTATGCAGTTCACTTGTGAGGAGATGAAGTGTAGTGGCAATTATACATAAAAAAAAAAATGGTTCTCAAACAACAGAATCAAACTATCTATTCGGATTAGCCAAAGCCATGATTAGGAGCGTCATCAAAACAAATGCCCCTCTTAACTATCAGATGAGATGATGATACACAATATGTTGAGACAAAAATAAGATCAACTCCAGAGAGAAAAACTCAGACAAACCAAAAAATAACAACCCGGGACAATGTGCCCTAAAACCGGACCATATCCTTAAGGCAGTCGTAAAAGTGGGAAATGTTAATCTTTTCCTTGCCAGAATAGATGGCTTCCGCACTTCCACCGTGTTCTCCCTGAGCAGCCATCTCAACAACCATATACAGCTTTTTGAGGGGCATCTGCACCAATAACAAACACATTAAAATGAAGCAAAAAATTATGTTGTTTAATTATTGGATGGGCAGGTACAGCGGTATTGGATGAGCAAGTCATGACATCATATCCATTTCAATTGTAATAAACAGTGTAAATGGATTTATAACTTACATCGTTTAATGCCTCTGCAGCAGAATCAATATCATCACTCGAGAAAACATTAAGCTGCTGTAACACCTGTCGACGAAGTGGGGACATTAATACACCAAGAACAAATAAAAGATTGGTTCTCCTTTAGAGAATGAAATGTATTACCATATAATTACAACAGTGAGTGTTATAAATCTGAATTTTCATGTACATTTTCAAGCCTTGCACGACTCGACAAACACAAATCCAAGAAAATTCTCCTATCCGAGAAGGGAAGAGGTTGCAGACTATTTATTATATATATATATATACACCTTTTTGGCATCTTCTGTCTGCAATGTAGGGACATTGTAGGTGACTGAGAATGCATCTCGAATTCCAACCAAGTCCAGGAAATTGACTTCACTTGTAGTCCCAATAACAAGAACCTTTTTTCCCTGAGAAAAAAAAAATGTAAAACAAAGATAAGATCCATCTCAGTAATTTCTGTCAGCAGCGGTTATATTCAACAAATTTCATTTTTCTTCTTCTTTCCCCCAAGACAAGTTATAAGTTTCTTCTATATTATATTCCATTTACATTTATTGATGCTTAACTACATATTATAGGCATATGAATCTTACAGATACATACACATGAGAAAATTGTATGCTTTTCCACAGATACTGCAGAAAAGCATCGACTACTATGTTCTTATTACAATAATAAGGAACAGTAATGCATTTCACCAGAAGAAAAGCTCAAGACAACAGGAGGTACAAAATCAGATTTTCTCAACCATCTAAAACAAACAGAGCTCATTGAAAGTTATTAATCTATATTACAATCCCATTGACAGAATAGAAGACATGCAACATACTAATTTATTTCTTGCTGTGACCTAATATTCACCATTGCTGAGACTAATCACATTCAGCATTATCGGTTTTCATAATTTGTTCACAACAGGCTTCCCGAAAATCATGGCATAAATTTCTCCATTCACAAATCACAAGGTAATCAGACTGATCCTCAGGCAGAACATTGATATGATGGCTTCAACCTTTGCTAAATCCAAAATAATTTTAGCAATAATTCAGAAAAGTACCTTTGGAGGAAGCCGTTTCAGGAGCACCAACAAAGTTTGGGAAATTAAATTTGAGAAACGAGGCCCAATTGCAACATACTCCAATAGCCTGCAAAAGCATAATAAGATGACAGATAGATCCATGATAACTGCATTATCAAGTACCACTAATCTAGCATCAAAATGTTACCTTTCAATATCATCTAGGATGATTGTACTTAGAGGAGACCTATAAGCATCTTCAAACACCTGACATGACAAACATACCATATAATGCTCCTCAATCTACCCGAACAATAAAGACATACTTATGTGCATACCCCCATTATGATATGAGGTTCTTTCCAGAACTAGTAATAGATGCATACTCTCTCAAAGAACAGAAGCAGGAATTGGAGAATGAGCAAAAAGAATTATTGAATAGATTATTTCACATGAAGCTAAGCTGGTCATTGAACAAAACCTTAACAATATGAGCGCATTTTGTCGGTTCACTGAGTCCAATCATTGTTTCAGCAGAAATCTAACCATATATCAATGGAAATAGTCAAAAAATAAGGTCAGAAACTAACTGATGATAAATATTGATATTACAAACCAACAAACAAAATTACTTACAATCTTAACATACGGAAAATCACTTTCAATACCAACTGTTGCTGCCATTGCAGTTTTCCCACTGTCCATGGATAAGAAAGATTCAAAAAAGGAATAAAACATATATAAATTAAGGAAAGCCCCATAACTCAAAACTTTCATGTGATATATCTAATGAATGCCTAAACAAATTCCAGCTTGCCCACCTACCTAAGGTACTAGGCCAGGTAAAATATGGCTTATGCTAAAAGCTCAAAACAAATTAGTCATGTTTATTTTTGTTTTACAGAGTTCACAAAAATCAATGTTCCAGTTTCAAAAGGTTAAAATAACTACCTGCCACTTGGGCCTTCAAGAAGACAAGTAACAAGCGGACTTCCTTCACTAACTTTAACTTGTTCCGCTAACAACATAGCTCTTCGATAAATGTGGTCATGTCGTGCACCACATTCCATGATTCCATTAAGCCTGCAAGAGGCATATCTTATCAGTATCCAATAGAAAAACAAACTTATCATAGAGTTGAAATACATGAATGCAACAAAAGATAAAAACACCTAATAAGTGGATCACGAACTAACAAACCTACAACAAGACGTGCACATATTCTCTCGTCTAAGACATACGAAAAACAAAAGATACCTAAAATTAACCTGTGACAAACTCAACCAATACAAACAGTAAATAACTTTTCTGTAGGCCTGCATTTTATTTGAACAAATTCTTGACTAACTGTTCACCCAAGAAAATACTTAAAGAGAACAAGCACGCAAACTCCCCCACACACACTAGCACACGCAGGGGCAGAGAACTGCATAGTAGATATATGGATGGAAAGAATGGGGCAGAATAGACGTTCAGTGAATAAGTGACTGAATTCAGAATAGTTTGAATTCATCCTACACAAAATGTTCATACCTGCAACGTTCTAGGTCATCTGTCGAAGCACCAAATGCTGGAATTACTTCTTGAAGGGCATTCAAAAAATCATCCATTGTGACTTTTATATTATCCTCATCAACTGGCTTGGTAAGATCGTCCATACTCAGTTGCCTATTCAGGGCATATGATACTGCACTTTTTACAACACCTTCAAGCTCAGCTCCGCTATAATTTTTTGTTCGGGCCGCTGCAGCCAGGAAATTTTACTATATATTTAAGCATAGCCAACAACACATGCAAAAATATATCGTCACGCAAGCACTGGAATGCACACTTCGCCACATTATGAATGGTCAATTGCGTGACTTTGAAACTCATGTCTTGCTGTCACTGGAAAGTGACTTTATGTTACCATAATGGAAATAATTTCATACAATGGCTCGAGATGTACTATTAAACAGAAATGGAAATGGCATAGTGAAAAAACAAATCTCATTTAATTGCCAAGAGAGCAGTGATTACTAGGCTCGTTTAATAAAAATTTACAGCATAAGCTGACTTACAAAGCAGGTTTATTCTATATTCAATCTCAAAATATACATGATTTTGCGATAGCAAGATGCTAACAAGAACCAATTCCTGAAAAGGGTAAAAGGGCACAACTGACAAAAGTGAATCTTGATGCAAAGAAATTAATAAAGGAGTCAACACTCATGCATATATCAACACAAATGAAAAAACAGCTTCATAGTTTATTTGAAGATTAAGCAACATATGACTAAACCGTAACCACACTTCCTACCAAACTATGAGATCATATATCGTCTCAATGTTTGTAATCAAAATATTGTTTTAAGACTGGAGGGATTCAAACAGATTTAAGTGCATATATATTCCTTTCCTTTCACTAAAGGAAAAATCACAAGCTTCGCATAATGCAAAGAGGAACACTTATCCCTGCAGTTCAACAGTAGTTCATGGCTTATCTTAAATTAGACTACAGTTTCTCAAAGATGAAAGTAAGCAATTCATTCCAACAGGCAAGCCTATTGACAACTTCCAAAATGTTAATTATCCTAAAAAGATATGAGATGTGATATCCCAGACACAAAAAGTTTGATTTTGCCTCGGCATACATAGCACTTAGCAAGCAAAACACTTTTTACACTAAAATAGAACTTCAGTAGCTTATTGAATATCCAAATTGAAGCAAAAAGGCCTTGCACCACGGTAGAAGCATATCCTTTCAGGTTGACAGAATTTGCAGAAAAAGTTGCTTTCTATAGCAAAAGGTTAGTAAGATTTTGCAAAGAATATGAAAGTACCAATCTCTTCCAAGTTTACATCTGGAGCCAGAAAAGAACTTTCTTTCATCTTGTTTGTATGAATCTGAAGAATCTGTAAACGGCCGTTTTCATCTGGAAGGCTGATCTCTACTTGTACTTCCAAGCGCCCAGGCCTAATATATATATTCCCAATTTGGAAATTAGACAATGTAATGAGTTGTATTAAATCAGTGTTATAAAATCAAAATCAAATATTCTTACGGTAAAATATTTGTAAAAACAGAAAACAAAATCAACACAGGAAAAACAAGCACCTCAGAAGAGCTTCATCAAGTAAATCCTTTCTGTTTGTCATCCCAATAAGCAGAACATTATTCAGGGATTCCACACCATCTATCTATATAGCAAGTAGGAATATCCATTAGTAGCATGTATAAACAACAAGTAGCATTCAAATGTGGCACAAAAGCCCCCAGCAAAAAACAACTAAAATCATCAGTACCTTAGTTAGGAGTTGGTTTACGATACTATCATGTACTCCAGTGCCATCTCTCGTAGAACCTCTAGACTGACATGTTCAAACAAAATGAATAAAGTAAAAAAGCTGGATATGGCATAAAAAGCTTAACATACAATAATCAAGTAGCAGATGTTCCCTGGAACAATCAGTATGATTAACATTTCATGAACAAGTTTTGATGGTTTATAAGAACATAGGAGCCAGTGTATGCCCAACTCATGGGAAAATTAAGTGTGAAGAATGCTTCAAATTTATTTGCCTAATAATAAGGAGCTAGCTGCTTTTCACATGAAAGCCAGAGATAAGAGACCGGATTGGATCGTGACACAATGACATGAACACAAGATTGACTAAATAAGTGTGAAGAATGCTTCAAATTTATTTGCCTAATAATAAGGAGCTAGCTGTTTTTCACACCAAAGCCAGAGATAAGAGACCACATTGGATCGTGACACAATGACATGAATACAAGATGGACTAAACAAAACAAAAACAAAAACAAAAAAAAAAAAAGGAATTTCGTAACTTTTAAGTTCCAAGTTTTATATGTTCAGCTATTTAAGGCAAATATAAGGAGCAGAAAAAGAACGGGAAGACATATAACACATTGCAGATAGTGTCTTATTCCCCTACCTTACAAATAGCATCTATTTCATCAAATATGATGATATGCAAGTCGCTTTGATCACCTGAAAGATGGAGAGAAACAATGAGTCAAGAACACATGTAATGTTAAGTATATGCTTCGGTCCTAAATGTTCACCCACCTTTGGTTCTCTGATCATGCTCAGCATCAGCAAATAGATCTCGCACATTTTTTTCAGTTTCACCAACAAATTTGCTCAACACCTCCGGCCCATTCACAATCTAAATTATCAAATAAAAAGGTTGAGTAGGAGGACATCCAGTTGTGTATAGAACACAAAACTAGTAAAAACTTCAATATAAGTCCAATCTGCTTCAGTAACATACTATATACGTTAGTGCGAACCAGATAGTTCCAAAACGATAATTACAGAACCGGCTAAGTAGCGACAATTCTTACCCGAAAACAGAACCTCTATAAGTGAAACTAGTAACAGAATTATTGGTCACCTAGAAAATATTTGATTTCGTCACCAAAACCATTTTATGTGGTGCGCAGTAGACTCTAGCAGAAGGCCTCTATGGTGCACTAAGTATACTTTGAAAGGAGCACACAATAATAGAAGAGTAGGCCCGGAAAGTGTACATGAATAGCATTTACTTCTCCAGCTTGTAGTGGCTATGAATGTTCAAATTATACAACAGACAAGAGCAAAAAACTCACAGATAGATTCATCATATGGTAATGAAGCATGTAAGTCTATGTTTTAATGACGATATCAGGCGTGAATATATGTATAAGAGCACAATTTAATTAAAAAAGGAAAAGAAAATAAATTATTATTCTGATTCCAAAGAATGGAATACCTAGAAAGTCTCAAATGACAGTGTGTTAAGGACAACACCACCTTTTGATTTTAAAAGCTTCCAGCTGCTAAGTTGACATATTTGGTGGTTAGTTTATAATCGATTTTTAGATAAGCTATCCTTCCAAAACCCATCTTAGACTTTTGCAATCGTGCTCCCAAGCATGCATTAAAATGGACTTTTTTAGGGGAAATATAAAGATTCTGAAACACTCCCATNGAAACTCAAATATTTATCTACTTCCAGTCATTAGGATCTTGAAATACAATTTTCTGGGTAATTTGGCCAAGGTAAAGATGTGTTCAATATTCATATGAAACAGTAAGATAAAGCCTTCTATCTCCAATATCTTCCAAACGAAGTTGCATAATATGAAATAATCCTATCTGCATGAGAACGTGAAGAAAGTATCAACAACTAGCATAACATATCCACCTTTGGTTCCTTTCCATTTAACATTTTGCCGATCTGCCGAGCCATCAAAGTCTTCCCAGTACCAGGAGGTCCATACAGCAGCATTCCTTTAACGTGTTTGATGCCAAGTCTAAAATGCAACACTTATTAGAATAAAGTCACATAAAAATCAAAAGCCAAAACAAGCTAGCAGATTTACCATGTGAGACAATATTAAACTCCAAGTGAAATAAAATAAATATATAAAAAAATAAAGACAAAAAAAGGTAAAAGTTCACAAGGACGTAAAATATGAGCATTACTTAGAGGTCACATGAGGAGGGAAAACCCTTGATGCAAAAGCTCTTCGAAATATATCAGCAAACTCTTCACTCAAACCACCAATACCAAAAGATTGTAGATTGAACTCTTTGTGTCTAAAGATGTTGCTGCTAGCAGCTTCTCGCTGGTTGACAATCTGCATTATCTCAATTAGGAACATGACTTAAATTCGAAACTAAACAATGATGAGACAGTTGCATATAGCAGCATTCAATATAGATGATATTATACCACCATATATATTTCAGAAGGTTGGAAAGAAAACCTTTATTCCACTTGAATTTGATGCTTCATAAATAATATACGTGTCAGCTGAAATCATCCCTCTATCAATGCCATTAGATCTTTCCTGTTCTTCTACTGAAGCTTGATTAACAGTGAAGATAAACCCATTGCCATGATATTCCAATGTCACCCTTTGTCCAATAGTCATAACCTGTACATATGGAACATTTATTCAGTATAATCTCACAATTACAAACATCTATATAGGCACTGATATACCAAAATTTATATTTGCTAACTTCCCCTCTCTCATTTTAGTAATAAACTTCATTTATGGATTTTGGTATATTTTTGCAAGATTGCAAGCAATTTTGGGATAACTGCCAGTTAAAAAGGATACATTCGGCACCAGATATAGTTCACAAACCAAAAACCAAGTAATAAATCTGTTACCAGACCATTTTAAAAATGAATGACAAGCAATACCTGGTTTAGTAGTAAGAGAAGTATTGATGCTAATGACGATAAAGACTGTGTTTCTAAGTTCTTTGAAAGAAAGAAATTGTTTTTTCAACCAAAAACGAGAATCAACAAAGGCAATAGTATGATCTATTTCAAGACAATGATTAATAAGTTACTTCAAAACTTTTCATACAACTAGAGGGCATGTTCTAAAAGCTTCAAGTTCCACATGAAGAAAACAGAAGATGTAAAAAACAATAATTATCACACAGGAAGACACAAATAATGGATTTAGTGAGAATAAGGAGAATGCTAATCACATATATAATTTGATGAGAAAGACGTAGCTTTTACCTGGTTCATAAATCTCCTACGAATCTGCTGGGACAAAAGGACAGCATCAACCTGCATGATAAAACACATTTGTATCAGCAGGATAGGCCAAAGCATCAGAGTAGGAGAGGTTACAAGCACTCCACCAGGACGAGAGAGAATCATAAAGAGAAAAACAAGTAGCATGAAAACTATCTCCTAGCAGTGGCATGGAGTGTTAAAGACAACCAGAAAATAAAAATAAAAGTGAAGAGTGATAAGAAGGAATTATAAACCTGTTCTTCTTTCGCCCCTTTCTTCACAAACTCTAATTCAAGGGTGAGCAACGCAAGGTTGAAATTTTCAGGAGGAATGAACCTAAAAATTCAGATTGTCAGAANTTGACAACCACCACAAAAAAAAAAATCTAGGAGATCTATATATATGTTGACAACCGCCACAAAACCTAACCCAATCATACCTACTGACAGAGATTGAGTCCCCAGTGGACACTTTAGCAAGACGACGTTGGATTGCGTTAAGAGCAACATTCCCATTCGGAACAGCATCATGCCCAGTGTATCAAAGTTAAGGTCACACTTCACATTTGGGAAAAATCTCACAAGCAAATTAACATTAAAGTAGGATAAATAGTCATAGTAAATGAATCATCATCAGCAGCAGCAGTAGTACTAACAGAAACCGCAGAACCAAAGATATAACTCGAGACCAGTAATCACAAGGGTGTCTAAAAGCATTTTTGTTGTATGTTACAGCAAAAAACATAACCATGAAGCAGGGAAACAGAATTGTATGACTAGTATTGCTTCGTATAGTCATGTCATACGTTTTTATTGTGCAATATCTCAATTAGAATCAACCTACAAGGTTTTAGTACTGAGTCCAGCTAATCAACCTCAATAAGTAACTGAAAACTCCAAATATTGACAACATTGGCATCCCAAAAATAACATGAAATAAACCTCATTATATATCCAGTTAACCAGGGTGTATCATCACTAAATGCAATCCAATTAGAACGCATACAAACCTCAAACTGCTTACTGAAAATTTAAATAATTGAACTGGTAGCTATGTTTGCATTTGGTCAACTGCTAAGATTCGAAGAATCAAATAACCATAAGATCTGTCAAATTTCCAGACATAACACATTATCGAAATCAGCACCATCAACAAACTAATACTCGTCAAGTAGCACAAAAATGAGACTCGACATACAAATATAATGCAAATCATTTCAACCGCTGACGCCACTGATGCCAAATTTGAAAGAAAAAAAAAATCTCAAAGAAATCAGCAGAAACTCCAGCATCACATTTTGACACGATAAATGTCAGAAGAAAATGGCAATTTTAAGCACGATTATAAGGATATGCAATAGTGAGAACAAAAACATCGCCCACCAAAGCGTAAGCCAATCTGGATCCAGGCACGAGGAAATTCCGGAGATCGGAGGGGTGGCAGTAGGCAAAATTTGTGTACGCGAGATCCTTCGCCGGCGTGTTGGTCACGATCATTTCCAGCGAACGCCCTGCCATCTTTCTGCTTACTATCAAAGAGATATCAAATTTGTATATCAATTTTCTTCTCGCTTGTTTTATGTTACTTTGCTTCGCTCCTAAGTTTACAGATCGTGGTTAATTGGGTCTGTTCGGAAGTATGGTGGTGTTTCCTCCGGTGGATATATTTTTCTTTTTTTTTTTTTTCTTCTCGAAACGTTAGGATATATGCTCAACGAACATGTACAACGAGGGCAAACTTGGCCTAATACAATCTTCCACCCTAAGAGCATCTCCAATATGTAATGTTGTGGATTAATTAATATTGGCATGTGTCAATTAAATAAAGGTGATGTGAATCCACATCATGTCATATAGATGTTGAATCTACAACTTCTAAAATTTTAAGTGTTCATAATATACAATGTGAACAACTCCTAAATAGTGTGGGTTTATGATTTTTTTTTTATTTTAGACTTACATTTTCAATAAACCCAAATTTTGGGCCCCTCTTTTTGTACGAAGACAAATTATAAATCTCCTAACACCATGTATAAAATAAAAAATTTACTAAAAAAATAAATACAGAAAAGCTTGGCGGCGTGCCTACCTGCTCAAGCCTTCCAATATCAAGATTGAGTTCCACAGGTCAAATTGTAGCTCACCTTCCACTTTCAATTTTTGATCACACTTCTATATTTATTTATCTTGTGGTGTGTGTAATTTTCAATCATTCTTTTATTATTCTTTACCTGGTGGTGTGTGTATGTTTTGATGATACATTACCATTTTGTACTTATTTTTTATCTGGTTGCGTGTAATATGCAATGTGCTTGTTTTATTTGCTCAATTATATTTGATTACCACAATATTAACATGAGTAATTTAGTTATATTCTATAGATTAATATTGTTGATAACTTCTATGAGATTTCTAAATGGTAAATTTCGATTATGATTCAGACTCCAATAGTTCATCATGCAGTGATTGCGAACTTTCGCTAACTAAAAAACTATTGGATGAGCCTACGGGAGATGACACTCTGGATACAGAAACAGATATGGATTTGGTTCAAACATGTCTACTTTATGTCCCTTTAATAGTTTCGACGATGTTGGTCAAAGAAAAAGGTCTTCATGGTGGGTCTACAAGTGAGAGATGCTATATACATCGTGATAGAAAACGACATAATGTAATTATCAAAGACTATTTCAGTGGTGAGAATTCAAAATACACTCCTGACCAATTTTGCTGTCGTTTTCAAATGACCATCAAATTGTTTGAATGTATTTCAAAAGCAATTCAAAGTTATGATAATTATATCACACTAAAGTTCGATGCCGTGGGAAAGCCTGGATTAACTCCTTTATAAAAATTGCTTGCATCAATAAGAATGCTTGCGTATGGCTGATCAGCATATTCTCTCGATGAGTATATTCAAATTGGAGAAACCACTGCAATTGAGAGCTTAAAAAGATTTTGTGATGCTATAATTGGTGTCTTTGGAGAACAATATTTAAGAAAACCGACTGGAAAAGATATTGAGGGGATGATGGAAGAGGGAGAGAGGCGTGGATTTCCAGGGATGCTTGGTAGTTTGGATTGTATGCATTGGCATTGGAAAAATTGTCCAACGACTTGGCACTGAACACATACTAATGGTTTCAAAAAGTTCCGACTCTTGTTTTAGAGATTGTGGCTTCACAAAATTTATGGATTTGGCATGCATTTTTCGGCCATAATGATATTAATGTATTAGTATATGTCTCCATTGTTTGATGATCTTATCAATGAAAAAGCCCTGGCATGTGACTTCGTAGTGAATGGTCATTATTACAATATGGGGTATTGTTTATCAGATGGAATCTACCCACAATATGCCACTTTAATTCAGACAATCTCTAGTCCATCTTCAATGAAGGAGAAGTTATTTGTCAAGTGCCAAGAAGTTGCACGAAAGGACGTAGAACGAGCATTTGGCGTTTTGCAAAGTCGATGGCATATAGTTAAAGGGCCTGCACGTATGTGGAATGCAAAAGATTTGGAGAAAATTATGAAGACGTGCATCATCTTACACAACATGATTATTGAAAATGAAACTGACCAAGGCATGAATCCAGAGAGTTGGCAGCCAGAACAAATCAGGCGACATGAAGTAGATAATGTTATTCCAGAGTATGATTTTTCTTATCTCGTGTCAAGGATGACTAGAAGAATGAAGGAAATACAAAACAAAAGAGTGCACAGGGAGTTAAAGACTGATCTCATTGACCACTTATGGAACATACATGGTGGTCAACAAATTGATTGAATTATAATTGTACCTTGAATCTAAAAATATTAATTTATTTTTGTATTTTTAGTTTGTTCAATAATTATTATATTTTTTCTAGAAAATATTATTTCAATTGATTGTAGTGTGATAAACTCAAGTGTTATAGTTCATGATTAATGCTTGCTTAGCTTAGCTTCACTAGTAGCAAACAGAAGCAGTAGTGAGTTGGTCAATCACAAATAATGCTTGATCAATAATATGAATTAAACAGAAGCAGTATGATTGATCAAGAATATGAATTAATGCTTGCTTAGCTTCAGTAGTAGCAATTAGAAGCAGTAGTGGGTTGGTCAATCACAAATATTCTTTTAGATGTACTAATTAACTAAGTTGACGAAGTGTGTAGTGTGGTAGGTGGTGTTAGTTACATATAGAGGGTGGTGATTAGAAGGAGAGGGCTTTTCTTATGTAATTATTAATGGATTAGATTAGTGATCAAAAGAATCTGAAGATGGATGAGATATTAGCTAAGTAGATTACTTACCATGAACAATGCTTTGATATATATATATATATATATAGGGGATGGATCCAATGAGACCGCTTCTTAAAATGAGTACGTAAGACTCAATCTTAGCCACTTATTTTGTCTAGATTAAAATTAATTAAAATATACATTAACTAAATAAGAAAATAATTATTAATTGACTCCGGCATTGACCGTTGACTTCCGGCGTTGACCGTTGACTTCCGGCGTTGACCGTTGACTTCCGGCGAGAATCGTTGACTTCCGGTGTTGACCGTTGACTTCCGGCGTTGACCCGTTGTATTGAAATAAATAACCTAGCGACAAAAGATACTTAACCTTGAGTGGTGTAGTGGTTGCATTGCTTGTCTTGCTTCCATGAGGTACCAGGTTCAAATCCTATGGGCTACAATTTTTTTAGAAAAAAAGAATACAACTAACTTAGCAGACAACTAACCTAGCAACAAAACACAACTAACCTAGCAACACAAGACAACTAACCTAGCAAGCAAGAAGAACTAACCTAGCAACAAAAGACAACTAAACTAGCAGCAAGAAAGAATTAACCTAGCAACAAAAGACAACTAAACTAGCAAGCAAGAAAGAACTAACCTAGCAACAAAAGACAACTAAACTAGCAAGCAAGAAGAACTAACCTAGCAACACAAGACAACTAAACTAGCAGCAAGAAAGAACTAACCTAGCAACACAAGACAACTAACCTAGCAGCAAGAAAGAATTAACCTAGCAACAAAAGACAACTAACCTAGCAGCGAGAAAAAAATAACCTAGCAACAAAAGACAACTAACCTAACAGCAAGAAAAAAATAACCTAGCAACTTAAGACAACTAATCTAGCAACAAAACTCAACTAACCTAGCAGCTACAAATAACTAACCTAGCAACAACAAACAACTAACCTAGCAACAAAACACAACTAACCTAGCAAGAAAGAAATAACATAACAAAAGACAAATGGTCAACGGTCAACGTCGGAAGTCAACGCCGGAGTCAACGGTCAACACCGGAAGTCAACGGTCAACGCCGGAAGTCAACGATTTTTCGCCGGAAGTCAACGATTTTTCGCCGGAAGTCAACGGTCAACGCCGGAGTCAACGGTCAATGGTCATAATAATATTTAAATAATTAAAAATAAAGAATTAAATAATAAAAATAAAGAATTAGTATTTAAATCAAGATCTAAATCTTGTGGCTAGGAATGAGTCTCACGTCCTCACTTTAAATAATGGGATGCATTGGAACCAATCCCTATATATATATATATATATATATATATATAGAGAGAGAGAGAGAGAGAGAGAAGGGATCATATGAGAATGGTAGATAGTGAAAGAAATAAGAATGATTATAGACCATTGGATCAGTACGATCAATGGACATAATTAAGTAAAAATTAAAGAACAATGGTCAATTCATTAATGGCAAAATCATAAATAAACAAATATCCATGGACAAATAATTACATCAAGGGGTATTTACATAATTTACCATACACCAAAATCAGTGGGGCTCACATGTATATCATAAAACCAAATTTATCTCTCATCTCTCTCTTTCCCTCTCTCACTCTCTCTCTCACACACACACCATCACATAAACATCTTCCTTCCGCCGGCGATTTCGTCGGCCACCACTTTCATTCTGCCTGCGTCATCGCTGCCTTCAACCGATCACTTACTTCAGGAAAAAGAGAGTATATAGTAGAAGAACTTGTCCTCTATCCCGCTTCTGCTTCTGCCCCAAGTTTCTTTCTATCTTTTATAGATCTTAATAGACACGCAATCAGGCATCATTCTCCTCTCCCAATGGTGTTGACGGCCACCGGACGGAGCTCGCAGGCGACCAAATCTGGCAATGACCAACACAACTTCCACGGCCACTGACCCGACGACGGCCAAATCGGCCAATTTGCAGGCGACGCTTTCCAGAGATCTCTATTCCGACGTCAACGACCTACGATTCGACGGTCAGTTCGTGTCCTCCTCCACGAGCCAGAGCCCATGACCACCGGAGATATTCACCTTCTCGTTGCATCCTTGGTTACAATCACATCCGCCGACCACAAGGACGTGGTCTCAATCGCCGGAGGTTCATTTACCAGGATGGTGGTTTGTGAAGCCAGATTTGTGATTTGTAAAGTCACATTTGAGATTTAGATTTTGGGCCATTTGTTGAAAATTTGACATCTTATAGCGATTGATATGCAATTTTGAAAATTTTAATATATTACAATTTAGTTTTTGGATTAAATATGTAATTTATTAAAAATCTAATAATTGCATATTATTGTTCCAAGCACTGCACATTACTGTTGGTTATATCGCACATCAACGATAAATAAATTGCACATTATCGTGTGTATATCGCACATTAACGATAAAAATCAAAGGCTGAAAATATAATATTTTTACATAATAATAATAATAATAATAATAATAATAATAATAATAATAATAATAATAATAATAATAATATAAAACTTCGTACCGAATTTATTTTTGTCAAATATTGTTCGATTTTGTGCAATCAGATAGACATTTATGTGTAACTCGTATAATCCTAATGTGCACTCACAATACATTAAAAATATACACTCGCGATACATAAAAATATAGACAAAAAAATAGTATCAGTTATAATAAAAAAATATAAATAAATAAAAAGAAATCGGTCTTATTTTTCATATAGTTCGGCATGTTCGGTTATTTTGTTTATCTAAAAATAACTAAATCCAATATTAACCAATTAATTATATTCGATCGATCATTAGAATTACTGTAATTTTAGTACGTGGAATGTGTTGTATTATAAAGTGCAACGTAGTGCTGTATAAAGTGCAATATATTGATATATAAAGTGCAATACTAAAATTCTGGTATTTTAACATGATTGTGTTTTTTTTTTTTTTGTGGATATTATGTCACTCAGTTTTGTTTATTTATATTGCGTAATTTTTTTGCTGAAGTTGTTGACATTAATTGTGTAGTGTGGTTATAAAGTGCAACGTGTTGTTTTATAAAGTTTGATGTGTTGATTTATAAAGTGCAATATTTCACTACATAAAAGGCATTAATTTATTCATTGTCATATGTATCCGAAAACTAGCTTAATTAAAATTAACCTACATAATTAATTAACTAGTACATTACCCGTGCGATGCACGGGGCTTTCTTATTTCCGTCCTTTTTAAAAGGCAATTTTGTATTTAAATTCAAATTATATAATAAAGCACCGATCATCGATTATAATTAAACCTAAGATACGTGTAATGATTTATGTTAATCATGTTGGACTTGTAAAATAGGAATATTTTTGAAAAATGTGGGCTTCAAAAAGTTCAAATCGGCCCAATTTACAATGTTGGTTTCGAAAGTTCATATCAGTCCAAACAAAACAGAAAAAATAATCCAATGATCCAGATTAGTCAACGCAAATCGACGGTTTAGATTACACTGAACATAGTATAAATAGTATAATTATCGAATTTTTTGGTTTTTTACAGTTAATCAATAGAATCATTCGAATTTGAGTGTGCGACGGTAGATTTTGTTAATTTTAGTTATTTTGCCCAAAAAAGAAGTGTGGAATTTTTAATTTTAAGGTTTTTATGTTCGATTTTTGTACTTTTATGTTCGGTTTTTTTGGTTGTTTACGATTAGTCAAAAGAACTCTTAAAATTTGAGTGTGTGTCGGTAGATTTGTTATTCTTTTTTTATCGGCAAAATTATTTTGTTACACAAAATTTTTTGACGTCCAAATGATTTTTTTTTTAAAACTCAACTCGGCTGAAAACATACAAATCCAACAATTAATTATGTTATATCATTGATTTTGATGAATGCCACACAATAATTATGGTTATGAACTTGCAAGTTTTTTTTTTTTGCCTAAATTAATGAATGTTGATATCAATTAGTTTTAAAAAGGATTGGTATTGAAATAAAACTCAAAATTTTAAAAGCATTATTTGTACCAAAATTGAGCAATTTGGTTACCAAAACTAAGTATCCGTGATTGAAGGCATATTTAAATGTTTCTCATTTAATAAATAAAAAATGAAAACAAAACTTGCCTGAAATGGTATGCAATTAATGTTGCCAAATTTTTTTGCTTACTATTTTTAATAAATAGTAATTCTTATTATATATATAGATATAGATTTATTATTTATATTATAAAATATTTCAATATTTTAATATTTTTATTTAATATTTTTATATGTATTTTTGTTGAAAATGGATAGTATATGTATTGTATAAAAAATATACAAAAAACAATATTGTTTATACATTTTTCATAAATTTTAAATTAGACACAAGGACTAAATTGAAATTTGATAAAACTCTTAAAATTGCAATTGGAACCTTTGAAATTGTCAAATTCTCAAACAATAGACCCAACAATCCTAATTAAATGTTCAGTCCCGTTCTTTGAAATAGGGCAGCGACTGTGTGTGTGTGGCGCCGTGTGTGTGCGCCGGCGGTGGCGGGGGGCGGTGGCGGATGTGTTTCGTCTGTGGTTGCCGGTGATGGCGGGATGAATCAGATGGAGGAAGACAGTCGGGTTCTCTTCCTCCGTCATCTCGGGCGGCCGGCGAGATGAATCCGACGAGATGAATCAGACGGACATATATTTGCGGTAGGCGGAGGAAGACAGTCGCGGCGGCATAGGGTGGTTGCCGGCGATGGCGGGAGGCCGACCTATGGCTGTGGCGGAGACGAGATGGAGATATGCCGCCGCCGGAGAGGATGTCACGTCTGTGTCGCCTCGTTACTGTGTATGTGTGTCGGTGGTAAGTGTGTGTGGTGTGTGTGTGTGTGTGTGTTTGTGTGTGTAATTGTGTGTGGATTGGTTTCAATGAAGACACCTATTAAAGTATGTGAGACCCAATATTAACCCTTAGATTTGTGTGGCCAAGATTAATTTATTACAAATTTTCTTTTTTAGCTAGATCTACACCATCTCCCACCTCTTTTCTTTCAGNCACGATATATGATACAATATATACATACGATAATAAATATAAGATGGTTGCTGAAATGTTGATGAGTACAAGTAAATGTCACAGATGTTACACGAAGAACAACCTGTAAAATCAAATAGGTAGGACGAAACGAAAAAAATACATCAGTGACGATTTCGGTTCACATGATCCTCACATAGAGCTGTTGCAATTCTATCACGCAATGTACATTGCTCCTGTTCGCCAGTCGTCGACGGACTCACTCTATCCATAAACGGGAACGCCATATCATCCGCATCATGTTGGGGAACAAAATCGGGCTGCAACCACGCCGCCGGTGTCGTATTCTTTTCTTGATGCGTCAGTATAAAATTGTGTAAAACACAACAAGCAACTACCATGTCCGTCTGCGACTTAAGAGAGTACCTTGGCATTAAATTCTTTAAAATTGGAAACCTATTTTTAAGGAGACCAAAAGACCGTTCCACAATATTGCGTACAACTGCATGCCTTTTATTAAATAGTTCATGGCAATTTCTCGGGGTCCTATTTGACCCGACCCACTCGGGCAGATGATATCTCTCGCCGCGGTATGGCGCCAAAAAAAGGGGATGGTTTGAATACCCAGAATCAAGAACATAATATTTACCTATCAAAAATTCATTACATTAAAAAGTACACAACAAATAGTGAATGTAGATTCAAAAACGCTTATTTAATTAAAAGAGATAATTTATCTACCGTTGGAAAAAAAAAATTAAAAGAGATAATTTGAGAAGGCGGACATACCCGTTGGTGGAAAAGGGAATTGATACCTCGGATTGGACAACGTATCTTTGAAAGTTCGGGCATCATTAGCACTACCTTCCCATCCTGCCAAACGAAGGTGAACTTCATGTCGAAATCACAAGCGACCATGACGTTCTGCGCTAAATATCCTTTTCTGCATCTGTAAGGCCCCTGGTGACCATGTGGAACCCATGCTGGTATTATGGTGCCGTCAACTGCGCCGATGCAGTCCTATTAGTAATGAAAGTTAAAGCTTAGTGAAGAAGAGTGGAAGAACTAAAATCATATGACTACAAAAATTGTCACCTTGAAATACGGATACAAATTGTTATTATTGCGTATCCAAGCCGGTACCCGATTCACGTCTGGGGGTAGGATGTAGTTCGGGCCCATATCAGCGAGGACGGTTATAATGATATGATAATGTTGTGAAATAGTTTCACTAGATCGTTTGAATGTCTCAGTTGAATGCCTATGTCGTTGATGTCCTTTTATTGTGTGAAAAAAAATACAAACACTTTCTTCAATGCAAACTTTTCTTTGCTTGTGATGGCCATGAACGCCTCTCCTTTGCATTTCTTCACATAAACGATGGAGAACTTGTTTATCGACACCCATAACGTGGTAAAATCTTCTAGGGTTCCCCAGTAGAAACTCATCTACCCATTGCATTCCCATAATGCTTGATTCACGGAAGAGTTTTCTCTTGCACTGTTCGAATGTGGACGGAGAGCTTTCCATAAGTCGCACTATTTTTTTTTAAATGTAACACAAAAATATTGCATAATTTAATTGCTCGTGCAATTTTAGGAGGGCGTCTTTTCACATCTATATCTTGTACAATATCTTCATCCATCTGATCGTTTGGTTCGAAAGGCCCGGTGGATTCGTCTTCCGTCTCCATAATGTCGTCTACGTCATCATATCCATTACTGTCGTTTACGTAAGACACCCTACAAATCATTTTAATTGAGAATAGAAATATATATATATATATATATATATATATATATAATGTTAAAAGGCACATAAAATATAAAAAGCAAATAATGAGGGAAACAAGCAGTCCAAGCAAATATAAAAAGCAAGCACACAAAAAATGTTCAAATACACAACCCCTACAACAGCGAATGAAGTTAATGAGGGAAACAAACAGTCCAAGCAAATATAAAAAGCAAGCACACACAAAGTTCTCGATAATCATATCGCAAACAAAGAGTCGTCGTCTCGTTGTCAACCACTTCCAGCACCCTCCTCAGCCAAAACCTCCACAAGTAGGCGTCATTTCCGGTTATTCGCCATGTTCAGTATGACGGGCCATCGCATCTGGTACTTTCTTTAAAGCAACCTTGTAGGAAGACTCGGGAAGCTCCATAGCATCAAGTAGAAGAAGCGCCTCCTTCTGCTCCTTTTGATCCGGTTGGTCCTCCTTGAGACGTGCTAGCGTGTAACTCATGTCTCTCATGGACTCCTTCATAGAGTGGAGTACAGATGCCGATTCACCCATTCTTTGCTTCTGTTTGTTCCTTCCACTTGTTCCGTAGGATTGCAGTGTCAACATATCCTCGTCCTCTCCAACGGAATGCAATGGCCTACTCCGCCGACCTAGTTCTTCATGCCCTCTCATGCTTCCGTGCACTTCTCCTCACTGAGTCGACGCACGCGCATAGCGGCTTATTGGGGTCGAACCAAAAAAGATGGTAGTTAATTCTTCGTAGTGTACGCACGTCTTCCTCTTGAGATCATGATCTTGATTTCTCTGCATCACAAAATGAGAAAGGGGAAAACACACAGTTCATGAATAATATGAAACAATTACACAAACAAGTCGATAAGAACAACAGAGGATCAACTAAAACAAACAACAAAAACATGTTCACCCAAACTGATTCAAAAAATTGATCTCAACCTATACATATTTTTTTTTTAAAAAAAAAAACCAATACATGGGCAACTTCATGTATCTCAGCCTGTGAAGAAAAAATAAAGATGGTAAAATGATCTCAGCCTGTGAAGAAGAAACGTGTTGTGAACAGCTACCAAACCAAAAAATTGTAGTCTGCCTACTCATACAGAACAAACAACAACTTCATGAATCTTCTCAGCCCATTTCCTTCACTGGCCCAACAAACAGCAACTTCATACAGAACAAACATTTTTGGGGCATAAAAAAATGGGACTATACCAAAACAACAAGCACATATTTACAACATAAACTATATGAACCATCTACTGAACAAAGGATTCCAAACCAACAAATAATCTACAAATACAGAGAGGACAGGTGCGCATTAACGTAGCATCATAATAATTAGGACCAGAAGTAGCATCATAATTTAACACATTTTTGTAGTAGAAGCATGATATACCAAGGTAATAGCAAGCAACAGAGAGGACAGATGCGCATTAACATAACAAATAATCAATACGCAGTCAAGTTGTTTTCAAGCACAAGTACTAGGATACACCAACAACAGCAGTCATGGAACAAATAAAAAAATTGAACTTTTAACTTGAAATGGAACTTACAACGCACCATTTTTCCCAAACTTGTTCAGTGCCCGTGATGGCACCGAGCGCTTCATCCCAATCAAAACTCATTGCATTATTACGCAAGTTGTAAAACCTCGCCCAAGTATCTTTTAGGCGTCTATACTTACTTTCAACTTGCTTTGTGCTGTACTTATATTTCCTCGAGCAATTGGCATTCAGCTTCTCGGTCATTTGCACCCACTGCTGTGGAGTGAATTTGTCGCCGATGCAATTTCCTTCAAGAACCTCATCTAACATGATGTCGACGAAGCATTTTTCATTCTCCGGGGGCCATTTGGCTTCACCTTGGGTACAATTCCCATTATCTTGATCATAACTCATGGACATCTACAATTTCATAAAACTCAAAAATGTGTTCCTCGACATTAATTTTTCAGATTATTTGTGTCACAATGTTGCAGGGATAAACCTTTGAACCACATATAAGAACAATACAGCATAATGACAGAAAAGCTTCAGTTCCCATTCATCAATATTAGCAACATACCAATGAGTGGACAGTATAAACGAAGTTGAAAATGTCAAAAAAAGTATGTCCGTCTTTAGGGACACAGAGTTCATCAACAATGCCCAATTCAAGTTGAACAAAAACAATAAAATAAAACACTGCGAACGCTCGAACAGAGTAAAGTGGAAAGTAGTGTGGGACAAATACCCAATTAGAAAACCTAGCCTTGAATCGAAAATTCCTTTGAAAATTAACTTTACCTTTTTCTTCTTTTTTTTCTCCGGCGAATTCACAGAAACGCTCCTCGTGCTTTCCTTCTGCTCTCCAATTGTGGCTTCAGGTACTTCGGCCGATCGATGCGGAGGTGTAACTGGTCGTTTTTGTGGTGCTTGCCTCTGGTCGCCGGCCCTCTGTCCAACGCTTCCGCAGTGAATCTGAGAATCAAAGAAGGAGGTCGCGTTGCGAAGAGCTTCTTCCTCGGGCATCACAGCTTGAAATCCATTCTTTGTTGGTGAAGAAGAATATGTTGTGGGAGAGAGGCCATCGTTGTGTGTGGGCTATAAAATGAAGGAGAAGACGATATGTTTGAGTTGAAGCGAGGAAATATTTGATAAGACAATGCATCTATTTTTTTATTTGGAGTAAAAATAGCTTTTACAGCTGTAGAAAATGGGTGGCCAACAAAACTAATTGCACTCTACAGGTGGGACCCGATAAGTTAAAATGATTTTACATCCAAGCAAAATTTCTACAGTGAAATCCGATTTTTTCTGAACAAAATTTGTATTCAATCAACTCCTTACTATTCAATTTCCCATTCTGATCAACAAAATGGGTAGTCAAACAAATATATCCCTCACTCGTGCAAGCAGTCCACACAACAAAAGTTAAGTAAATCCTACTACCAAACTCACACAAAATTTTCTTAAGCTTCAATTTCTCCCTTGTATACATTTTGTTAATGTCAGAAGCAAGAGTGTTTCTAGAAATACAAGGTACATCGGGATTTATATAATTCATCCAACTCTTATGTCATCATTATCAACAAACGAAAATGGTAAGTCATGCTTAATAACAACAGCAACTAACATCTCACTTGAAGTTTTGGGATTAACCTTTCTAGATCTTATCTTTTCTTCTTTATCAACAAGCATTTGACCCACATCATTAAACTTAATTGCCTTGTGCACTTGAATATGACGCCTCAAAGTAGAAGTTCCATATTTTTTACTGCCATCTTTGCACTCTTTATTACACGCTTTACATTTTGCTTTAAAAACATTATCTGGCCTCGGCACACCAATTCTATTAAAATAAACCCAAACACCAGATCCGACATTTTCCTCAACATTTCCTTCATTTAATTGGGAATCAACCACATCATTTTTATTGTCATCCAAATCTATACATTCTTTCTGTGAAGCAGAAGAATCCATCACCAATTCAACACCTCTTANCAACACCAAGTTCACAAATTCACAAGATATTCAAAACAATTTCAACAATAAGTTCACATTAGGACCACCCAGTGGGAGTTTACCCATAGTTTTGTAGCATTATATTTAACATTACATTCATAAAAAACCCCTCTGCAGCAATTTATTATATTACGGTCCAATTTACCTTATATTCATAAAATTAAACATTATATTATATTATAGTCCAATTTCAGCTAACTTTCATGATCGGAGTTGGTGAGCAAAATACCTTTGAGGCTGAGACCGGAGGCCGGCGGAGGAGGCTGGAGGCGGAGGCCAGACGCGGTGGTTAAAGGCAGAGGCTGGAGGCGTCCTTGAAGGCCGACGCCAGAGACCGAGGCCGGAGGCGGACGCAGAGGCGTGGGCAGAGGTCGGAGAACCGGAGGGGAGAGACGTGAGGAGGCTGAAAGGCGAGCGACAAGACGAGGCTACGGTTTAAGAGGTGCGTGCGATTTTTTTATATTTGCAAATGAATCTGTACTGTATTTGATATTCTGATTGTAATTTAATATAAGTATAACATATATTAATAATACTATATATATATATATATATATATATATATATATATATATATAT